TTCAGTGGGCAGAAAAAAGTCACATGGGAAGAAAGAACTGAATCACTGAACTCCTGCTGTTAATACTTTTTAGAAACCCCTAATCGCCCACAGGCCGCCACATTTGCAACTTTAATAAGGTTGAAGCGTATGTTTCTCTTTACACAATGTCTCTCCATTATCCATTCATCAAGCTCTCTTCTCCACAGGTTTTCTGTGGGATTTAGCACTGGGCTGTGGTTTTTGTGCCTACACCATTCCTATGTTGACTTTCCTGTGTTTTGGGTCATTTTCCTCTTCAAAGGCCCAGTGGTAGCCCATTTACAATTCACTACTAAGGCGTAAAATGATTTTTGTGTTCATTTCATAGCAAAAAGCTGTTGCTCTGTTGTGATAAATCTTTGATTGCATCTCCAGATGTGTCGGTCTCTGGTTATTTGCTGTAAGTTAGGACTGTCTTGATTTGTTTTCATCTTCAAGTCTTACACACGTTTGCTTTCAGAGCAAGCTGATACTGTATTGATTTCCTCATCTGTGAAATATTCCCCGCGTTAAAGGCTGTGAAACAAAATCATAACTCTGTACCAAATATCAGTAAAACGTTCTTTTGATGAAACTCTCCACGTTTTTGTACTAACAGCTACCTTTTGAACTTTTTTTTTTTTTTTGGACCACTGCACATTTCTTTAAAATACTACAAGCACGCCAAATGATCATTAGAAGCCTTCTGACATTTTTATGGTGAAGTTGTCCCAGAAACTTTTTCATGAGTTATTTTTGTCATGGAGCTCTGGTGAAGAAGATTATTTTTCAGAGGTTATCCTCCTGTAGGCTTTTTGTAGGTTTACTTTTGCCTTTCTGGAAAGTCTGTAAGCCAAAGGGTCTGCAACTCCAGCCCATGAATGTCACTGTCCTTCAACACACCTGAATCAAAAGGCTGAATTTCCTCGCCGGCATCTCAGCAAGTTTTGCAGAGGTCTGTCTATCAAACATTCATTTGATTCTGGTGCGTTAGAGCGGGGATGTGTCTGAAAGTGGCGTAACAGAGAGTCTTGAGGACTGGAGTTGCAGACCTCTGCTATGAGTACTTATCTGTAGAGGTTTTTGTAGTTTTCTGCAAATACTGCTTTAACTTCACTGTGATCACTGTCATTTCAGACTACAAGCTAAGGTAAACCTTAACCTGAGAAGGCTTTGCTACTTCATCCTTTTGTTTTTTTTCTTGCTTTGTGGTTGTTAACTATTTTAATTTTCAAAATGTCAGGCAGCTGCTTAGAGGAGCCGATGATTGCTGATTGTCTGGATGAGGTCTGAGGATTCAGGATTAACAAAGGTTTGAAATTTGCATCACCTGGCCTTTCCTGACTAATTAACACCTGACACCTTGGTAAATGTTACCTCAGATAGTTTCTACGCAACTGCGGATATGTATTTTTAAGTGGTCATTTTTCCACAGTTGTTTTTAATGTCATAATGTAGGATTCCAATCAAATACAACAGACCCATGCCATTCCAGTAGGCAGCAATTTAGTCAACATTCACAGGAACTTCCTGACTTCAACCAAGCACATTTTCTTTGATACTGGTGGAGGCATAAAAATACATTTACAATGCTAGGTTCATATGAACCAGATGAGATGACATGTGAGGTGAATAATATTTTTTGGGAAAAGGAAAAATCTACTTTGTGTAGAAATAAAGTTTTTTATGAACACTGCAAATCTTACCAAGTACTTTTGGTCTAGTTTTTGGTGCTGATATACTTGAAATAAAACAAAACTAACTTACAAGTAACTCATCTTACATAAATAATTCATTAATATTGATTTTTAAAAAGTACTAGTTCCACTGGGAAAATCATGTCACTTGTAACAAAACGTGTTTTTCCCCCATATTCAGGTGAAATGATGTAACAGTACATTGGGTTCGTATGACAATAAATTCTGCTTGATGATCTGAAAAGTATGTGGAAAAAGCAAAAATGAAATTAATCCAAGAATGAGACTCGAGACAATTTAGCCAAGTTTCAGAAGCACCTCAGAAACTAGTTGAATATGCTAATAGCTGGGAATGTTAGCAAGCTAACTATTAGCTAAACAAGCTACGGAGGATACCTTCTTCAAACCCAGACCTATTGCTGAGACTATCTTAAAACCTATCTTGCCCCTTTAAAGCCTAGTCCAAGTAAAATGTCATTTCAAAGTTGGCGGCATTTTTTTATTTTTATATATGCAATTTTCTGCAAATGTGAACAAACTATGTTAAAATCTTTAAATCAATGGTTTTCCTTTTACGGGCCTCTTTTTTCAAAAATGCATTATAGCTGCCAAGACTTTTTTTCCTCCAAGTTCGTTTATGAATGTTTAAGTATCCAACTTTTGTTAATAATATAATACATGGCTACCTCTGCAGAATAATAGAACTTGGATAAACTGAAGTAGCAAAGTAAAATCTTTAAAAACTCCCATAGAAATCCTGTCACCCTACACAATAGGGTGATAAATACTGTTGTCCTACTGACATTTATAAAAAAAATAGGGACACCGCAGGATTTCATATATTCCCTACAACACATATAACCCCTGGGGTGAGTATGATTGCGGGGGCAAACAGCTTCAGACTGCAGCCACCCGCCTGACACGGGACCCCTGACTCAGTCTGCAAAACAGATTGTGGTCCTGACCTCAGACTCTGTTTTGGTCTCAGCTGTAATCAGGACGTTCCCGATGCACACGCTGTCAAACTGCACACTTCAATATTCTGCTAAGCTCAAAGTGGGGAAAAAGTCGATATGGTGATTCAGTGGGAAAAAGCAGTGATATATTCTTTAAGGTTTTATTAAGAGGCCATTTTAGATCTGGGGGTGTTTGAGTGTAGGGGCTGCTTTTTTTGAATGCACATTTTGGACATTAATTATTTGACATATATTATGTATTCTCAAAGATTTTTTTTTTTTTAAGTTAACTTTTCAAAAGTTAACTTAAACGCAACTCAAGCACTTGTTGCAAAAAAACAAGTGCAGGATAAACTTTACTAAGTTTGACTTTTGGCAAAAGTTATGTCTGCGTGTAGAGAGAGAGAGTAATTTATCATAATCTGCAACTATTGAAATGAAAAGATGTGAAAACTTTACGGCAATAAGAAATGTGGAACAAAACCCTTAAATGAAACAACGAATGGATCATGATTAAAGCTGGAAATATTCAAAATGGTCTGAATTATTTTTGCTCTACAGTTTTTATTATTATTATTTAGTAGAAGGAGGAGTTGTAACAATATCTGCAATAATTTGATCTCCATCTTTTTTTTTTTGCCTGAACTAAACTCATTATACTGTGTGCAGCATATATACATAAAAAAAACAAAGATTCCTTGAAAGCCAGGCTTCATATACGCTGGGGTTGTAGCCTCCTTAAATAACCTCTGTGTCTTTGCAATGTACCATGATGGACTGGCGACCTTTTCAGGGTGAGACCCGTCTATCACCCACTGACCGCTGGAGATGGGCAGCAGTCACCTATCAAACTCCATAATACTCAAGTACAGCGGTTATGGATTTTTTTGTTTTTATTTTCTATCCTCACCTTGTGTCAGTCCTCTGGCCTCACAAATGTGCTTTTCTTTCACTAAATGTGAACAAGGACACCGGCTTACATTTGTTAATACAGCTGCATTAAGGTCTTTGGCTCTAGCCATATTGCGCCTCATCTTGCTGGATTACCCCATCGCCACCTACCCTTTATTGTGCTGATTACTCACCAGCTGTTCTAATTACCCTTTTTAGAGCTGAGTCCCTCTGCCACTTCATGTCAGGGTAAGTCTGTAGTTTTAACTGTGGGCTATTAAGCACGATTCCTCATTTCTGATAAGCAGCCTTTGACATTACACCTACTGCCTGTCGGCTCCCGCTGCTGCTCAGACTTAGCAGGTTTTCCCAGCAGACCTGGAGTCAAAAGCAATCTGTTTCTCCCACTTCTCATCTGCCGCTGGCCACCTCCGTCCTCCTCCGTCCACCCCCTGTGCTTCCTGCTGATCCTCAATTTTCTGTCCCCTTATCAGTGGTTTAGCCAGTATTAGAAGGAACATTCTTGAATTTAATGAGCCTCAGTGGTAATATTAAAAAAGCTTCCATAAACATGGAGGCAGGCTGTCTGTTCCCCTTTTTAAATCTCAGACAGGAACCATGAGAATAAGTGGACCAAGGCCAGCTGATTTACTGCCTAAGTTCAGCATCATTTTACTTTATTTTATTTTTTTTTTTGCCTTTATAGCTTAAGTATGTTTTTTATTTGCTCGGGAGACCTTTACGTTGCTCCAGAAAATGCTACTAAAAAAACTGCAAAAACAGTTTATTTTGTACACCAAGTAGAGTTATTGTCATTTTGTTTAGTTTATTGATTTCAGATAAAAACATATCATCCCATATCCTCTTTTTAATTTCACTTTCTTAAATAATTTAAATCACAGATGAAACATAAACACTGCCAAATTTCCAGTTTCAATATTGCAGTAAAGATTTGCAAAAAAAAAAAACAAGCAATGTTTTAATCCAATGTGACAAAAAAGTACAGAGTTTCCATCTCTGTAGATATTTTTTCATTAATTTATATTTTGGGTTTATTTCACCCAAATTACTTTTGGAGCTAGCCCTACAAACCAGAATACACAAGCTCCTGTTGTTGTACAGTTTATATANAGTGAAAATGGGTGCTCTTGGATTATGGTAGAAAAATTCCCCCATACAGATGATTTCATTTTTGTTGTTTGTATAATCATAAACTAGTCTAGACTTGGCCCTCTTTTTTGAATTGTAATTATTTTCTTGTTTTAATTCCATAAGCCTTATGTATTTGTGGAGGTCTCTAAACTAAATGACATAATTTTCTCTCCAAGCAATATTCAAGAAGCAGAATAGCTGTGGTGTTCAATCTTCAAAAGAAAATGACTCATTAGGATGTAAATCGACTCTCCTTGGATGTAAATTGACTCTTGCTGTTGCTGTTTAACTGTATCATATTGAAATGGAACAATATGTTCTGAATATTACAAAAAAAAAAACTTGTAGTGATGAGTCAGTAATCTGTACTGAACATAAATAGAAATAATTCTGCATTACAAAATGGAAAATGTAGATATGTTTCAGTAAGGCACTACAAAGCTGAGATCTTTGTGTGTGGTGTGTTTAATAAATGATAATTACAGGTATAAGTCATTCTAATAGTCTGTCGGCTGAAATCCGATGGAAATACTGTGATCCTCTGTAATCAATGGCTTGCAGCTTATTGGCGCTCAGAGGAAGCTGGGAACACCTGTTTTCAGTGATAACAGCAGGCAGTGGAAACGATATGGACGCAGCCAAAAGAGCATCAATTCACATTGTAAAACATGACAAGTTGCCTCTAGTTCAGTTAATGCTCAGTCTTTGTACTTTGGCTGGAACGGACAGGGATTCCATATTTCATTGTTACTGTTTTTTTTTGTTTGTTTTTTTATCAATCGTTTTAACACCCAACAGGTTTTTATTTCTTCTTCAAAATAAATGTGACGGAATGTCATTTACCCAAGTGAAAAACTTTCATGCGCTATGCTGCTCTATGACATTGTATTGACATAAATTACCAGCCGTAAAATGATGACTACTGAATGCTGATCCATTTGAATCACACTGTTTTTCTTTCCAGCATGGCATCCATTAGTTGGTGCATTTTTGGCCAATTGTAGTCTGCAATTTTCCTGAAGAGCGGTGGATCCAACACTTTGGAATGACCAACTCAACTGTTGATGAAGTTTGGTGCTGGAGCAGCACTGGGTTTAGTTCTCAGTGTGCCTTGAGTGAGCTCATCATGAATAGTTGACTGCTTGTTACATAATTGCGTGGTCTGACTTCTCTTTAGCACATTGGTCATGTACTCAGTCGCCAGACCTGGACGCTTGCTCAGCATGAGCAGCAAACCCTGTGCGACTCCACTGTCATCGCCTCATTAAAACTTCAGTGTTTGCATGAGCAACCACAGTCATGCATGCTCAGTTAACTGCAACCTTAACCTAAGCTTGTCCATTATAGCTGTTGGTACAAAGTGACATTTAGGCAGAATGCATCCCCTGATCTTTCTCTTGGCATCATTGGCCGGTTTTGTGGCTCTGCAGAGTGTGACTTTCTAGTCATAGACAAGTTCATGACACAGCATCACTAACTTAAAGGAGAGTTAGTAAGCTAAGCAGAAACCTTTCAGTTCAGACTTAGATGATGAGTCAAACCAACTTAAACCATCATCTATTTGGATCATACAAGCTAGACTAGAGTAAAGGTGCATTTGCTGATGTTTTTTTCTTGTACTATTGAAGGTTTACAGAAATTTTAAAGCAGGGGTCTAGACTGAAAGACATCGGTCTGCAGAAAAACTGCAAATGTGCTCAAGAGCTTATCCGATACCATATAGAAAATACTATCTGGAAAAGAAAGTTCGAGATTAATATGACTGGCTCATAAAATTGGCCAAATTTCCTTGATTTTGGTAGATTGACAATTGACTGAGACTAACATGAGAAACCCATCTTATCTACTGGTCTTGTCTACCTTCACAAAGGTCTGAAAATCAGCTGCTGATACCATTCTGACACCTTTTACTCTGATAACAGACCTGCCCACCAGCTCCTGTTAACAATAGTCGCCCACTGTTGCCAATTTAGCAACTTCATTGCTAAATTTAGCAACTTTTCAGACAAATCCTGATTTACCAGAAAACTGCAATCGGTGCACCTCTACAACTGAGGAAATGTTAGCATACCTTTCCTTCCAGCAGCTAGCTTTACTGCCTTTAGGCTGAAATAACTTGAGTGATACATTTCTTGGAGCCATTTACCACTCACTGACATCAGTCTGAGAAGGTTCACTCCCCTCCTCACTTTAGTTTGTTAGATGTTTGAAGGGGTTTCTTGAATGTACAGCTTAGAGACCAGGTGTACTAATAAAGTCTGAAGTCAAACATACATATGTACAGGCTGGTTTGAAAAGAGATACTAAAAGAAAATCTTTTTTTTTTCTTTTATTTTACTTTTCATGAAAATATCTAGAGCCCTGAAGACATGTTAAGAACGTGATAATGTTCAATTAATAGGTATACTTATCTTATTGGGCAAGCATTTATTTGATTTAGTATTTAGTTAGAACAATTCATTTGATTTATGGTTAAATATATGCTAAAACTACTTTTTTTTTTTTGTCATAGATTTCTGTCATGATAATACCCCTTTAAGAACGACGCAGTGCATGATGGGAGTTGAAAGTTCATGACTTGTGATTGTGTGCGGAAAAAGAGATCAATTTAATATTTCTTGAATAGCGACTTTTCCTTCTATCATAAATGCCTAGCACATGTGACACCCGGCTATCTGCTTATTCTCAGATCTTGCTGCTCTGATAGTGACCAGACTTTCTTTCAGCATTTTTTCTGTATCCGCAATGAGCCTATGAGAAAAAAAGAAGAAAAACTAAAAGAGAACAACAATCTTTAGCCCAAATCACGGCAGTGTCAGATGATAATACTGCAGTAGAGTCTCTTTGTTTGGAATAATATGATAGGTAATTTGTGGTAGAATTATAGATATGGATGCACAAGGTGAAAATCGCATATGACCTCTACTATGATTGGAAATTATGCAAGCCTCTGTGGTGATGGCAGTCTATTGCAGATGGGCTTCAGACAAATGTTCTGTCACATCACATAATTGTGGAAGCTTGTATCAGTCCGCCTCAGACAATCACACAATGACAGACTCCACTGGAGGCTAATCTTTTGCCTCTTGAAATGGATCTGTACTCTGATTGTTCACCGCTTACAGCAAACTGCAGTACTATGGTTCCCCAGTATACTGCTAGATAAGGGGTGCCCAAAGTCGGTCCTCAAGGGCCGGCATCCTGCATGTTTTAGTTTTCTCCTGGTTTTACACACCTACATCAAATGATGGCTCATTAGAAGGCCTAAGCAGAACACTGACCTGCTGAGGAGGTTGTTACAACCACTAGGGAGAGAACTAAAACATGCAGGATGCCGGCCCTTGAGGACCGACTTTGGACACCCCTGCACTAGATGATTTTGTTATGGTTCTGCTATTTGATTTATCCATATCTTTACCTCCAAACAGAAGATGAACATGGTGTGGTATTGTGGCTATAACCCTGAGGAGTCTGAGATCTGTTGTCATCACTTACAGAGGAAACAACTACAGCTTACAGGATTCATTCATTCATTTTGAAATGTTTTTATTCATTACGATGTGTTAAAATAAATTTTCAGTGGTGGACACTGGTTTGTTGCACTAACTGCTAACAGTAAAGCACTACTCATAAACATTATTTCGCTACCTATAACGCCATATCTACATGGTATTTAACAGGAGCTAATGCTAAGCTAAATTCAACCATACTGATCCTGCTATGTGTCAATGAAATGTGTTGCAACATTCAACAGGGTCAAATCTTTTATTGCTAATAATCCACTCTTAGCAGATTAGCGAAAGTATGCTCACCAGTGCATATTAAGTTTATTAGCTGCCTATGCAACACTTTAGGGTCTGTTTTATTTAAAGTTTACATTTTTGAGCTTTGCAGAATATGATAATATTATTTCCTCTTCGAAACATACCTGGATTGTTGCCTTGATTATTTCATTCATGTCTGAGAAATCCTTTAATCTCCATGGCAAAATGCCTGGTGAGACCAAGCACCACCTTTGAGGCGCAGCTCTTCAGAGCTGCAGTTTTCAATCCTCTAAGCTTGCCCCTCACAGAGCTGCCCTCCCCCGCACCTCCCCCACTCATCTTCTTCAGACTAGCCAGCAGCAATTAGCAATCACCTGATGGAACTGCTCATCTGCAGAGCTCATTATAGGAGCTATTTCTCAGTGGAATGCAGGTAAAAACATTGTTAAAGTGTTATTAGAGAAGTGGTGTTGTGATGACTTCCTGAAGGTGGAATTTCAGAAAGAGCAGGGATTTTTAAAGAGATAGAGGCCCAATTTCAAGGCATTAAATTACAAAGTTGCATTTCTTTTAAATATTTGTCATTGAAAGCAACAGTAACTTTGGCACAATAGAAGAAAAATAGATAACACTGCTCCTTTAAGTTTAGCTTTCAAATATCTCCTTAAGAATAAATTTGCGGTTGTCCCTTTAATGCACACAGTTTTAAGCCATTTTGTTACACTGGAATTGTTCTTATATCCATCAATTCATCTATTTCCCATACAAAGTAAAGCAGATATTATCTGAAACCTTGCTGCATCACTGCATGTGACCATTCATCAGAGCTATTGTGAAGCTTTTCATGGTATTTTCTAATGTCTAATTTGAACCCCTTTAGCAGTTTCCTGCATATCCTGTATTCAACTCTTTAAAACACGTCTGGATCCACAAAGGTTTGATAGTACCACTCTGTGCTATGGACTGTGTCTTATCTAGTGTTTTGTCAGTCAAGGCTCACTTCCTCTCTGCTTTGGTAAACTGAAGGTGTGAGATATGCAGCAGATAAAAACTGTAACAAACTGCAGAGCTGAAGCTGTCCTTAATAAGAAGACAGGTATATTGCAGTTATTTATGAGCCAGAGGGAGGCTGCTGTGACAGCTCAGAAAGGCTGATCTGCGAAAGATAGTCTTTGCTCGCGGATTTTGCTTGGTCCCTTAAGAGTTCCTTTGAATCCTGTTATTAAGTACAAATGGAAATACTTAAAACTCCCCATTAGGTGTGAGGTTGGAGAGGCAGTGATGTCAGCAGCAGCTTTTAATGGTGCCAGCAGAACAAGGCGTGTTTCCCAACAGTTGCCATGATTTATTGCCTGGGTCTGCTAACAGCTCCGGATGGATCTAATGGAGATGTGACTGTCAACAGGCGCCAAGGTACAGATGCTGATAATTATTTTATGGCTGCAAATGTAGTAATGCACTCATATGCAATGACAAACACTGGTTGCTTGCATATTTACTTTGATTCAATCATAACTGCTGTCACATAGCAATTCAAATGCTAATAATTCTGAAATGTTCAGGTAAAAGTGCCTATCCTTGGTATTAATGGATACTGCGAGACTAGCTATGATTTATTTATTTATTTTTTTTTGCCCATATGTGATCTATATCTCACTTTTTCAGGTCAGATATAGGTCTGAATGGCCCAATTCCAATCTTTTCACCTTTCAAAAAATCTTATTTGTGCCTCTTCAACAAGTGACTCTAATTCGGATATGCATCCAATAGTTTTTAAAGCGTCTGCAGTCTGAACGGTCGTGTAGTATTTTATCTGACTCATGCTTCATAATTTTGCACCAGAAAAAGTCAGATGCTGTGAATCCACCCTTAAACAATGGCTAAATATTCTAATGAAATTATGAAAGAAGTTTCAGAGAGGCACATCACATCATAATCCCATCATTCTTGGTTTTGACTACACATCCAAACAGACTTCTCTACATAAGCTATCTTCACTAAAGGCCATTGCTATGAGAGGTGGATGGACCGATCCAAAACATTAGTAATATCAATAGCAAATCAATATCGTATCAATACTAGCATGATAATTAAAAAGTATCAGTACCATTATCACTGATACTGGCCATATACTTATTTGTCACTGGATGAATATCAACATATGCATACTGATCGCACACCTTTAGTACTGACTTGTGTAACTGGGTCTATATTAATAGTTGTATATTTCCACAAAATGTGTTCTTTCATGTATTTGTTTGCTTCTATTTGACTGTTGTTGTGTTCTTCTGTGTCTACTATAAGGGGTTCGGTCCTCCAACTCCGCCTTATTTTCTTCTTCTTTTGTTCAGGGTCCTCCAGGACTATTATAAATATTATTAATTTCCTCTTCCCTTTTGTTGTTCGTTCCACTGGGGAGAGGCAAGTTTTATAATCTATTGTAATCCTTTCATTTATAGAGTTCAAATGTTTATTTTTCCTTCTGTATTAATGATAAGTGTTTGGATATTTTTATTTGAGTTGTTATTACACCTTTATATAATTTGTGCATGCTAACTATTATTTTGTATAGATCGGGTTGGAGAACTGGAGCACATGCTAGGTGCTAATGCTAATATCTCCCGATTGACAGGTACGTTAGCGTGGGCCCTTTTGTTGTTCGTTCCACTGGGGAGAGATCGGGTTGGAGAACTGGAGCACATGCTAGGTGCTAATGCTAATATCTCCCGATTGACAGAATAAATAAACGGAGACCGCCTCCAAACCCAGACTTGATGTCTTGTGGTTTGTCTGATCACCACACCAAACACAACGCAGAACTCCACCGGTCACACTTATCGTATAAAAACATATGTTTT